CTAGCTCTTTTCTTTTGAATATTCATTTACCCCTCACTGAAGTCTCCTTTTTTTAAGGTGAAACAGGCCGGCCTCGTACTATATCTCATTAGTCCCTAAAACATGTAACTTTGAAATATTTGTGAAAATTCAGGACCCAGGCTCTGGGCCCATTTTAGTCCCAGATGTTATGGACAGATCTCACATGGTCTCTGTGATTCTCTCAAATTGCCCCAGTCCTTGCTTAATCCTTTCCCTTGCCCCAATCCTTCTTCAGCTGATGCAATTCCTTTTGCAATCCCAAGCAAGTCCTCTTAGGAATCAAATTTCCTTGGGAAGGATGAAAATTGCTGCACAATTTAAGTGGCCTTTCTTGTCCCAAACTACTCGTGTCCCTTTGCTAGTAGTTATTACCACTGCCTCCAGGTCCTAGATGGCTTCGACTCCAGGTTCTTAAACAAAAAGAGGTGCCAGGCTGACTCTAGGGTTACCTGTCACCGTGTGGCCCGCATTTGGTTCTGGACTCCACATTTTAAAAGAGAGACAAGCTGACTGCAGGATGGCAAAAGCAAAATGACCTTGTGTGCAACCAAGGGTTTTGTTTGATGAGGAGAAACCTCACTGGGAACTTGGCCTGCACCTCAGAAGAGGGTTTCAGTTTAGTCTGCTTGACTCCAAGAAATAGAATTAAATCCCTTTCAACAAATAGTACTGTCAAGCCATATGTTGGGTGTTAGGAATAATAAAAGGAAAGAGATACAGCAATAAGTAAGGCAGGTAAGTAAAGCCAGCTCGGCTTAGCTGCTGCCAGGATTTTGGGCAAATTAGAAAAAGGTGCCCCTTCCTCAGTAAACTTGACTGCCTTCTGCTGGCAAATTGAGATAACTGTACAATTCCCTGATAAGATGAATGGTGGTCCCTGGGGTTGTGCAGGGCACAAGTTGCACAACCAGGAGTGATGCTAGTAGAAGCCACTGGGATTAGAAAGAAACTTGTTGCAGAGCCAGCCAGAGCAGGTGGCTGCATCAGTTCATTCAGGAAGGGGGTGGGGAGGAGGGGGATACTCAGGGGTCCTAAGCAGGAAGGGATTTTGCATGGAGGACGGGGGCGGGGAGATAGACCAGATACCCTTTGTAATACCCTTCTACTCTGAGATTATGCAAATTCTGGGGAGTGGTTCTTCCACAAACTCTCAGGGAACAAGCTAGCAATGTGCTCTTGTGAAAGTCTTGGCAGGAAGCAACCCTCTCTTACTAAGGAGAAGGTAGGTGGCCCGACCCCCAGAGTGGACACGATGGAAGAAAGGATCTGTGGTAGGTGGAGCCACATCTATCCCTTGGTGTGGGCAGACATTAAAACAAAGAGGAGATCAGAAATAATATAGCCAGGAGTTTTGAAGATTAAAAATCCCTTACTATTGGTATAGCTAGTTGCAAAGCTAGTTCACTCTCACATGATCCAAACACTTTACAGTTGTCAGAGCAGATATTATTATACCATTTTCAGATTATCAAGTCACACATCCAAGTCTCCCAACACTCATTAGCAGCAGAGCTTCAGCGCTAAGCTGTGGAGTTGTCTAACTACACCACTCCATTTCTGTTTCCATTTTCTCATTTTTTCATTCGCAGATTCCCAACATGCCTTATATTACGTGGATTCCGTCTAGAAAGAAAACAGGAAAGTTTACAGAGCTGTAAATGGACAAGAAACTTGCCCAGCCTTGTTCTAAGAGAAATCAAGGTTTGATCACCCTCTACTGGCCAAAGACTGGGATGGCAGCAAAAATAGGTAATGGCAGATGCCAGGAAGATCCAGACAAGCAACGATTTTAGAGAATCATGACTACCCTGAGGGAAAGGGAGAGAGAAAGCCAGGGCCCATACTGGTAGCTTTTCCCTTTCCAGATTTCTGCTACAAAGTGGAGAGGAATCCTTTTTCTTTTTCAAGCCAAACAATTTTTCAAGACAAAAGAGAACCAAGTAGTGTAAAAGTGGGAGAGTATGGAGGTCATTTAAATGAGAAGGAGAAACTGTGGACCCTTAGAGTGCCCAAGGGCAGTTCAGACATTTGACACTCCAAGATTCAGAAGCAATTTTCAGGCATGATTGTGGAACTGCTATAGGTGATCTTTGGGACAATCATATGTGATAATTTAAAGGGATAAGAACATCCACATGCATTTTGTGAGAGAAAAAGGATTAATCAAGACTAGGATCAATGAATTGAAATTATAGGAATGCAGATTTTTGCTTTAATTGAAAGAATTTTTACCAATGAGAACTCTCCTGAAAGAAGGAACTGTCCTCTAAAGTAGTAAGCTCCCTGCGACAGAAATGGTTAGAAACAGAGGACTGCCCTGGCTAGTGTGGTTTGGTTGATTGGAGCTTCATTCCCTACACTAAAAGGTTATGGGTTCAATCCCCAGTCAGGGCACATATAGGAAGCAACCGATTGATGTTCCTCTCTTGCATCAGTATTTCTCTCTCCCTCTCTCTCTTTCTCTCAAAGCAATGAAAAAATGTCCTCAGGTGAGGATTAAAAAAAAAAAACAAAACAGGACTATCAGAAAGGAAGTTTTCATTTTACAGTAGGTCAGACTGTAGATCCCTAAGATGATACATTCATTCAGTCACCCCTTACTAAGAACTGCATGTATTTTTCATTTTATTTTCCCCTGGTGCCTTAACACAATGCCTGACACATTGTAGGTTCTTGGTGTTTTTTTAATTAATTTATTGGAAGACTATGAGGTCCCTAAAAATCAAAACCATTCTGAAAAGGAAATGCCAGTGATACATTACAGCAAGTCACCAGTACATTGGCTAACTTTTTCTTTGTCTGTTTTGTTGTGTTTTTGTCATATGGCCATGGTTATATTAATGGAAGAAAATAATATATCATTCTAAGTTAGCTTATTTTAATATCATATGATTTGGATGGACAGCATCTTGGTATCTCTGATGGTATCTTTTAGAATCTGTTGAGACCTAGTAATGACACGGGATTGAATTAGAAAATTTGGATTCTACCCTAAGCTCTGCTACTAGTGTGCCTTGTGCTTGACTTCTTCAGGCATTGGTTTCTTCATCGAAAAACAAGAGCTTAACCAGATTATCCTTAAGGCTTCTCGTGGTACTAGTCTTATGTGACTACGTCCCTCTGCTCAGAATTGGAAGGATTCCTTAAGCCCCAGCACCACAACCCACTGGTTGCATGACTAGGTGAAGATCAAAGATCCTTTGACTAAGTGGCTGGATAGAGCATGACCAAAGTATCAACACGTGTGGCTAATTGAACAGATGCAGGTTTCCTGGTTTCCTCCCTCAGTCCTAGTGATTCTGTTCCCTTTAACCATTTTATTCTTTCTCCAGCTTATGCAGAGGAAGTATAGAACTTAAAAGCATAGGCTTTGGAGAATGAAAGCCAAGTTTGAATCTTAACTTTCCCACATATCAGTTGTATGACACTGAAAAAGTTACTTTCCTTTCTGAGCCCGTTTCCTGACCTATAAAATAAAGATTTTACTATTTCACTGGGGTAAGTATTCTCAGGATTATAGTATTTCATAGGATTGATATAATGAAGATAAATGTGTGTAGTAGATTGTTTCCAAAGAGAGTTGCATCATCTCCCAGCCCACATACTCTTGCAGTGTGACTAAAAGATAGAATCTGTTCTTCTTCCACTTGAATGTGGCCTAGAGCCCTATTTTAACAACAAAGATGTGGTGAAAATGATGCTATATAACTTCCAAGGCTGGGCCCAATACATCTACAAGTTCCACCTTGACCTCTTAAAATGCTCCTCTTGGGGAACCCAGTCATAATGTGGAGACGGCCCAAGCAGCCATGCCAACAGACTCACATGGAAGAGCATGGGGGCCCCAGGCCAACATCCCCAATGAACTTCAGTCTGTGGGCCAACACCAACTGCCAGCCATACCAGCTCCTCAGTTGATACCACAAGAAGCAGAACAGCCCAGCCAATCCAGATTTGCGAGGTCGAGTGAGAAACAATAATCGATGGGTTAAGGCACAAAGTTTGGGGGTGGTGTTTCATACAGCAATAAAGAACTGAAACCAAGCATTTAACACAGTACCTGGCCCATAGTACTCAAGGGAGGTGTGCAGAGGGAGTGGTAATGGTGAAAGTGTTGTAAAAAGTTTCCTTCTCCTTGCCCTGGCTGCCATGGCCCAGGTGGTTGGGTGTGATTCCGCAAAGCAAAATGTCATGGGTTTGATTCCCAGTTAGGGCACCTGCTTGGGTTATGCCTAGTCCCCAGTTGGGGTGCATGTGAGAGGCAACTGACCTGGGTTTCTCTCTCATGTTGATGTTTCCCTCCCTCTCCTACCTCCCTTTCCTTCTAATTTTTTTTTTACAGTTTTCTTCCCCCTATTAAGGGGAAAACTAATAGGAGTCTGGGACAAGCTGTAGGAAGATGTTAAAGATCATCTAACCCGCAAAATTCATTCTGCTAAACTGTCCTTCCCATTCCTAGGGCTCTTCCACTTCTTCAAGACAACACAAGATGATGCAGGAAGTGGCCATTTTTGAGTAACTCTTTTTTGATAAAGTCCTTCCTTGTATAATACTTTTAAAACCAGTTCCTTGGTTCCTGTAACATAAACTTCTTTTTCAAATGACAACACTTCACATATTAGAAAACTAAGACAGCTTTGTCCCTCATTCAGCCTCCTCCCCACCCCCGGTCTTCTACCTAAGGTAAGAACAAATGCTCCAAATTCTCTCAGGTGGAATGTCACGGTGTTCAGACCTCATCCCTCCCAATTTGCTCATTTCTGGCCAAAGCTGCCTTCTTCACGTCGGACCTTACTTAGTAAAAACCTAAAAGGGGCGGAACGACAAGACCCGTGGAAGCCTCAATCTCCTGCGTACACCAAGACACCGAGATGCCGGTATCTCACGAATTCCTAGAGGGGTCTCTGCGGCCGCGCACTACTGTGGGCGGGCGGTGCTATGACGCACTTCCGGCTGCGCCAGCCGCGGTGCGTGTTTAGGTGTCCCCGCGCCAGGAGTGCCTGACTCACGGTGAGCCTCCTCATCCTCGGTTAGCTTGACGGGCGGAAGAGGGAGCCTAGGTGAACCGTTTCGGAGAGGAAGAAGTGGGTGTACAGCTGTGGCCCCCGAGGACCCCACCAGACCGGTCTTGGAAGGGCTATAGGTAGGACCCCTGTACCCCTGCCCAGCCCCAGAGGCGCTTGTTCCTTGGAAAGCCTTTTTCTCCTCCCAGGGCTTTAACAAATGAAACTTTGTTTCGCAGTTTCCAGGCAGTTTCTTATGCGCTCCCTGAGTCGAACAGGGGCTGCCATTTCTATTTTCCTGGCTCTTAATGGGAGTCCGAACTCTAGGCTAATTGATGAAACACGCTGGAGGGGTTTGGGGACCTCCTCTGAGAAACCCAGCCTTTTTAGAAGTCCTGGGTTATGTCTGATCAAGGGAGTAAATAGTCCGCTTGGTCGTTGTTATGTTAGAAAGCGTGCCAATAACAGGAATCTGCTCAAGTTTGGAAACACGGTATTTGGGGACCATTTGTTAACAGAGTTTGTCCAGAGAAAGGTGATCTGGCTGGTGAGGTACTTGGAAATCTGTGCTATTTAAGGAACAGTTGAAACAACTGTGGATAAGAAAAGAGTTAAGAAACAAGAAGATTGTTTTCAGGCAGCATAAGGTTACTATGGAGAAAGTAAGTTTGGTATAGGACTGAAGTGTGAAGACAAGTTAAAAAAGTTATGCACAATTTGATTTGAAGAAAAGTTGGAACCATCTCACAGAATTTTGGGCCTCAAAATTATCAGATTTGCCTGCGTGGGAGTTTTCAGGTGCAGACTTTGAGTACATTAAAGGCATTCTGGCATTAAATTGTTACAATCTACGATCATTTGATTTATTTATGCCTCATTTTCCAAATGGATTTGGGGCACTTTTATAAGAATACACATGCTTTGGGAAATTGGCATAAAGGGAGGGGAGGGAAAAAACTGGGAACAGAACAAAAGCTTTCTTTTTTATAGACCATGAACTTTTGCTTCATGGATGTCTTTAGCCTAACATTCTAGACAACCTAAAAACGTAGTTCACAGTAGTTGAAGACAATCTGAGTTAGTAACGAAGCCTCCATTTTCTGTGTACATGCTTTTTTATTTTATGAGCATTTTATTAAGAAAAATTCAGCCCTGACTGGTGTGGCTCAGTGGGATGGGTGCTGTCCTACAGACTGAAGGGTCACCAGTTTGATTCCTGGTCAGGGCACATGCCTGGGCTGCAGGGCAGGTCCTTGGTTAGGGGTGTACGAGAGGCAACCCATCCATGTTTCACACATCTGTGTTTCCCTCTCTCCTTCTCTTCTTCTCCCTTTTCTAAAAATAAATAAATAAAATATTTTAAAGAAAAATTCAGAAGCCAAGACCTGGAGGGCTCCCCTAAATGAACCTTTAGACAAACTCAACATGAACAAATGTGAAATTACTGGCTTTCTTCAGGTGGAAAAAAAACCAACCCAGAGGATTATCAGATTTTTTTTTTTTTTTTAATATTTGCTGGTCAGAGGGGTGGGAGGATTTTCTTTATTGTAACTAAGGTTGAGCATCTTTGCATGGGTTAATTGTTCAGCTGAGACTTGAAAGGCAAGTAGAGTCTATGGCCATACCACCCTGAATGCTCCCAATCTCATCTGAAAGATGAGTAGACTCAGTGCCCTTATGAGAACTGGGCATTGAGTGAGCATAGGGAATGATAAAGGGAGTGATGACTGAAAAGGGAGGCAGAGGCCAGATTGGGATTTGTTTGCCATGCAAAAAGTTTAAGTAATTATAAACAGCTGGGTGACATGAGCAAACTTAAGTGTTTTTAAAAATATTTTAAAAATTGTTTTCATTTGTATTGATTTTAGAGAGAGAGAAACATATTTGTTCCACTTATTTATGCATTATTGGTTGCTGCTTGTATGTGCCCTGACCAGGGATTGAACCTGCAACCTTAGCATATTAGGACCACAGTGTAACCAATTGACCTACCCAGCTAAGGCCAGCAGATTTAACTTCTGCAGATAGCCTTTGAGCCTGTGGAGATAGAATTCCCAAACTGGAAAATGGCCTATGTGATTTCAGAAGATGAAGGACTATTATAATGTTGCCAACTAATTCAAAACTAAAAGTATTTGATAAAATTAAAAAATAGGCTTTGTGCTATGTTTGAAATAGATCTATAGAAACTATTTCATTAGGCCAATATTCTGACAGTTACTGGAAGAAAATAAAAAATTAACTATTATTGCTGACAAGGCATGTGCCTTTTAAAAAATAATCCCAGCCCCAGCTGGTGTGGCTAAGTTGGTTGGAGCGTTGTCCCATGACTGAAAAGTTTTAGGTTTGATTCCTGGTGAGGGCACATACCTAGGCTTCGGGTTTGATCCCCAGTCCAGGCACGTACGGAAGCAAAACAAATGATACTTCTTTCTTGCATAGATGTTTCTCTGCCTCTCTCCTTCCCCCTCTCTCTAAAAACAATGAAAAAATGTCCTTGAATGAGAAAAATAATCGTAATCATAAAAGAAAATGGCTTTACAACTTTTTAAATGTCTATTGAATTCTAAGAATGGTCTGCTTCAGTATCATAAGTGTTGAAGTTCATAAGTGTTGAAATAACAGTCATATTTCTCTTTACCACCCTTCCATAATAGAACAGCATTTACTAAAGCTGCTCTTTACCCCAAACCCCCATATTTTTAATTTAAATAAACATTTTAAGATAGTTTTAGAGAAGCTCAAAGATAATACAGTGAGTGAGTCCCTATCTGTTTCTCACCCGGTTTCCCTTGTTAACATTTTACATTACTGTGTACGTTTGTCACAACTAAGGAACCAACGTTGGTACATTATAGTTAACTGAGCTCTACCATTTATTCAGATTTTATTAGTTTTTCCCTAATGTCCTTTTCTGTTCCCTGATCCCATTGAGGATACCACATGACATTAATCTTCATGTCTACTTAGTGTACTTTGGTCAGTGGCAATTTCTCAGTTTTTCCTGGTTTTTGGTGAAGTTGACAGTTATTTGAGGACTACTGGTCAGTTATTTTTGTAAAATGTTCCTAAATGTTTGTCTGATGTTTTTCTCATGATTAGACTGGGTTTATGCATTTTGAGGAGGAAGACTGCAGAGGGGAGTGCTCTTCTCTCTGTTTTGTTTTTTATTGATTTGAGAGAGGAAGAGGGAGAGGAAAACATGAATTTGTTGTTTCACTTACTTGTGAATTCATTGCTTGAGTCTTGTATGTGCCCTGACCAGGGATTGAACCAACAACTTTGGTGTATTGGGATGACACTCTAACCAACTGAGATACCCAGCCAGGGCAAAGTAATTTTTTTCATACCAGGACACATGACTTATCACTGATGATACTAATCTTTTTTTAAAAAATTATAGGGCAGACCTGTCTCTTCCAGATCCTTTCCTTTAAGTTCTGAACTATGAAATACTAAATACTAATTCTTCCCTTTATTAACAGTAAAAAAAATATGCATTCATAACAGTAATAGAAGTATTCAGAAACACATTGAGCTAAAGTTGTTATACTGTTTACATTATTTGCTCAGATGTTCATTGAAAAGGACCAAAGAATTTTTAAAAATTGTTTTTATTAAGGTAGCATTGGTAATATCATTAAATAAATTTCAGGTGTACAACATTATAGTTCGATATCTGTATACTCTATTTCATGCTCCTCACACCAAAAATCTAGTTTCATTCATTACCATATATTTTGACCCCTTTACCAATCTTGCCCTTCCCCCTCTGGTAGCTACCATTATGATGCCTGTATCTATGAGTTTTGTGTTTGTTTTGTTTGTTCATTTGTAATTTTTGTGTTTTTTTGTACTCTATGTGTGAGTGAAGTCATATAGTTATTTTCCTTTTCTGGCTCACCTATCTCACTTATCCTCAAGAACTGACCATGTTGTCGCAGATGGCAGTGTTTCACCTTTTATGGCAGAGTAGTGTTCCATTGATGCAGATGCCAGCAAGCAGTGTCCACAGCATTGTGGCTGAGACCAGACAAATTCACACGGACTACCGAGTCCTTTGGAGGAAAAGGAACAGCCTAGCCACTCTCTCCGGGAGAGCACGCGGAACCTTGCGTGGACAGGCTTTTATTGACTTTAATTTGCATAGGAATACAGGGCGTTTATGGAAAGCTCATCAGTCATTGTCAGGCAATAATAATCAAATAGATAATATTCTCTGAGGGCTTATTTTACGTCAGGGTCAGATAGCAAAAGGGCCATAAAACTGGGGAGACAGACTCTTTTCATGCTTGGACCCTTATCATTTAAATTGAGGGTATTCGCAAAGCAGGTTTCACAGGATTTTATGCATTCTTTCTCAGGCCTGATTGCCCCGGGGAACCTGCCCTTTCCAGCACAGGGCCGCACCCACCTCCAGCATTGTTTCAGACTTAGGTCAAGCAGGGGAAGTAAGGCAGCCAAGAGATTAGGAGACTTCTTGCAGACAGAATGAGGACTCAGGCTATGTCAAAGCCAAGGGGTGAGGGTCCATCACCCCCTTTCTACATAGCCCCCCAAGTCGTTCCCTGAAGGCCCCTTTGTGACCGTGCCTGTCTTAGGTAGTCCCTCCCTTGAGGATTCTTACATGTCATCGGCTAACTGGTCATGCACTGGGGGCCAGGCAGGGTGAAGTAAAGTGGGCAGGGGTGGTGCTACTGCCAGAGAGTCTCCTTAGTGGCTTAGGGTCCCAGGGTCTGTCACTCAGCCTTAGTCATGGGGGGGTTACAGTTTCTGGAACCAGGCAGGGCAGTTCCCAACATTCCATAATGATGTTAATTTGGATCAGGTGGGTGAGGTGGTGTTTGTCGTGTTTTTCCCCTATAGTTACTTTGTCCCAGCCCCCTTCTTTTTTTTTTCCTAATTTAAAAATTTTTTATTTCTTAATGTTTTATTATGCTATTATAGTTGTCCCAATTTTTCCTCCCTTGTTCCCCTCCACCCAGCCCCCCCAAATTCCATAATCTATCTTCATACTGTTTTCTATGTCCATGGGTCCTTCATATATGTTCTTTGACTGATCCCTTCACCTTCTTTCAAATAATTCCCACCTGACTCCTCCCCTCTTAAAGCCATCAGTCTGTTACATGATTCTCTGCCTCTGGTTCTATTTTGCTCATTATTTTATTCATTAGGTTCCTCTTATAAGTGAGATCATATGGTATTTGTCTTTCACTGACTGGCTTATTTCACTTAGCATAATAGTCTCCATTTGCATCCATGCTATCACAAAAGGTAGAAATTCCTTCTTTTTTTCTGCCATATAGTGTTCCATTATATAAATATACCACAGTTTTTTGATCCACTTATCTATTGGTGGGCATTTAGGCTATTTCCAAGTCTTGGCTTTTGTAAAGAGCGCTGCTATGAACATAGGGGTGCATAAGTCCTTTTGAATTAGTGTTTTGGGATTATTAGGGTATATTTCCAGCAGTGGAATTTCTGGGTCAAAAGGCAGTTCCATTTCTATTTTTTTTTTTGAGGAAATTCTATACTATTTTCCACAGTGGCTACACCAGTCTGCATTCCCACCGCAGTGAATGAAGGTTCCCTTTTCTCCACATCCTCTCCAGCACTTGTTTGTTGTTTTATTAATGATGGCCATTCTGACCAGTGTGAGGTGGTACCTTATTGTGGTTTTAATTTGCATCTCTCAGAGGGCTAGTGATTTTGAGCATTCTTTCATGTGCCTATGGGCCCTCTGTATGTCCTCCTTGGAGAAGTGTCTGTTCAGGTCCTTCACCCATTATTTAATTGGACGGTGTGTCTTTCTGGTGTTGAGTCCTATGAGATCTTTATATATTTTGGAGATTAAACCCTTGTCCAATGTATCATTGGCAGATATGTTCTCCCATATTGTAGGTTCCCTCTTTATTTTGCTGATGGTTTCTTTAGCTGTGCAGAAGAGTTTTAATTTTATGTAGTCCCATTTGTTTATTTTTTCCTTTGTTTCCCTTGCCCTAGGAGATGTATCAGCAAAAATACTGCTGCATGAGATATATGAAATTTTACTGCCTATGTTTTCTGCTATGATTTCACATATCATAACTTATATTTAAGTCCTTTATCCATTTTGAGTTTATTCTGGTGTATGGTATAAGTTGATGGTTTAGTTTCATTTTTTTTTGCATGTCCCAGTTCAGATCTCCCAACACCGTTTATTGAAGAGACTATCTTTACTCCATTGTATGCTTGTGTTCCCTTTGTCAAATATTAATTGACCATAGAGACATGGGTTTATTTCTGGGCTCTATTCTGTTCCATTAATCTATGTGTCTTGTCCCTTCTTATGTCAGTACCAGACTTTTTTGATTACAGTGGCTTTGTAGTATAGTTTGATATCAGGTATTGTGACCCCTCCAACTTTGTCTTTCTCAGGATTGCTAAGGCTATTCAGGGTCTTTTTGGTTCCATATAAATTTTTGGAGTATTTGTTCTAGATCTGTGAAATATACCACTGGTATTTTAATAGGAATTGTGTTAAATCCATAGATTGCTTTGGGTTATATGGACATTTTAATGATGTTAATTCTTCCAATCCATGAACTTGGTATATGCTTCCATTTATTTGTATCTTTCTCAGTTCCTTTCTTCAGTGTTCTGTGGTTTTCTGAATATAGGTCTTTTACCTCCTTGGTTAAATTTATTTTTAGGTACTTTTTTGTTGTTGTTGTTGTTGCTATAGTAAATGGGAGTTTTTTTTAGTTTCTCTTTCTAAAGAGAAGTTCAAAAGGTAGTTCATTGTCAGTGTACAGAAATGTCGTGGATTTGTGAATATTTACTTTGTATCCTGGTACTTTGCCAAATTTTACTTACTAGGTCAGGTAGTTTTTTGGTGGAGCCTATAGATCTTCCGTGTACACAGTCATGTTGTCTGCAAATAATGACAGTTTTACTGACTCCTATCCAGTTTGGATGCCTAAGAGTGGTGGAAGTGGACACCCTTGATTTGTTCCTGATCTTAAGGGAAGTTCTTTTAGTATTTGCCCATTAAGTATGATGTTGGCAGTAGGTTTCTCATATATGGCCTTTATTTTGTTGAGGTATACTCCCTCTATTCCCACTTTTCTCAGTGTTTTTATCATAAATGGTCCCGGATTTTATCAAATGCTTTTTCAGCATCTATTGATGTGATTGTGTGATTTCCCCAGTCCCTTTCTATACTCTCTTTGGAAGCAAGTTGGTAAGTATAGCCTACACTCAAGGAATGGAGATTTAAGCTGCACCTTCTTGAGGGGAGTATCTACATAAATTATTTGGAATAATTCTGTATGGGAGATTTGCCTTTTCTCCTCTATTTATTTATTCAGTCACCTTTTTTCACATCACTATGGGCTTATGGATATTTATTCTATACTTAAGGTTACAAGCCAGTACTACATTATGTATTTTGTAACTCAGGCTTCACATCAGTATGGGCTTATGGATATTTATTCTATACTTAAGGTTACAAGCCAGTACTACATTATGTATTTTGTAACTCAGGCTTCTGTGTTCCTTTGACACGCCTCACTGTTGTTGATGGTTTTTTAAATACTTACTGGCATTACAAGATGGTCCAGGTTCATCTTCAGTATTCTCCGACCTAGAATTAGCCATCTCTCCATGTTTGGTTCCTTTAATGAAGAATGATGTTTAGAAACCAAGATGTGGGCACACACACACTTATCTAACTCTGTATCAACCTCTGTCTGTATTACACTGAACATAAGTTCACACTGCCCTATTTTTCAAAGATTTTATTATTTTTAGAAAGAGAGGAAGGGAGGGAGAAAGAGAAGGATAGAAGCATCAATGTGACAGAGTAACATCAATCAGCTAAATTTTAAAAAATAAAATATATAGTATTTGTATAGTGGTAAATAATTTGAAGGAAAAGAAGAGGAGGATAAGGAGTTCCATGTAAGGGAGGGTAGTGTGCAGTTTAAAACAGGGTGGTCGGGGTGCCTCAGCCAGAAGGTAATATCTGAGTACAAACCTGGAGGAGGTGAGGGAGCGGGCATGCATAATCTGGAAGAAGTGTGTCATCTGCAGGAAGTGTTAGTGGCAGCGTGGACAAGGCTCTGAGGTGGGAGGGTGCCTCACATGTCCAGGGAACAGTATGGCTGGTTAGAATGAGCAGAGAGAGAAGTATAAGATGAGATCATCTTCAGCTTATATAAGCTTTTTATACACCCTTTCTATGGTCTCTACCTTTATTATTGATATAACTTCATATAACAAACACCCACCTATATTTTTATCTGTTTGGCTCTTTATTGAGACTGCTGGAGTTTTCCTGCTGTAGGTATCCAAATCCAGGATGGAAACACCTGTGAAAATTGCAGCTTAGTTGAAAACATGGTCAGGAAGCCCAGTCACAACATAGAGGATTCACTAATTTATATAGTTTTCTTTCAAAATATATTTAATGAGTGCCAATTATAGACTGATTCTGTTGTCTGTTTACTTGTATATTTTATTTTCTTAAGTTGACTCTGGAGCCCTAAAGAACCAGAAATCCAAAGGAAGTAGTATTCCTGCTACACAGAGCCCTATCTTTAGTGAAGCTATTTCCGGAGTCCATATGATGACCAAAGTGCCACGCATGGCCACAGGTGTGGGCCCTAGGCCTCCACAGGAGCAGGTGGGGCCCGTGATTGTGAAAGTCAAGGAGGAGGAGAAAGGGAAGTGCTTTCCTAGCCTGGAGATGTTCCGTCAACGCTTCAGGCAGTTTGGGTACCATGACACACCTGGACCCCGGGAGGCCCTCAGCCAGCTCCGGGTGCTCTGCTGTGAGTGGCTGAGGCCAGAGATCCACACCAAGGAGCAGATCCTGGAGCTGCTGGTGCTTGAGCAGTTCCTGACCATCCTGCCCCGAGAGCTGCAGGCCTGGGTGCAGGAGCACTGTCCAGAGAGCGCTGAAGAAGCTGTCACTCTCCTGGAGGATCTGGAGCAAGAACTGGATGAACCGGGACAGCAGGTAGGCTGGGGGGAATCTTTTTTTATCCTCTGAGATTGGGAGCATAGTATTCCAGGCAGGAATGGGTTTGTCCCTACAATACAAAGAGGTAAATGAAAGTTTCTGCTGAGTTAGAGCACATGTCCTTCTTTTTTCCCTACTACCTATACTGGCTTTAGCCTTGAGAGTTGAAGGGAGGTGTTTTTCTTTTCTCTTTCCTAGAGATTCTACATAGCTCTCCTAAGATTTTCTTTCATTTTAGTTAAAGTAAGCTTTGCATAAACCTAGCCATTCCTAATTGTCTCTAGGTTTCACCTCCTCCAAATGAACAGAAACAGGTGTGGGAGAAGATGTCGTCTTCAGGAACAGCAAAGGAATCCCTGAGCAGCACACAGACATGGTCTGTGGAGACAAGTCCCAAATATGAATCTTGGGGACCCCTGTACATCCAAGAGACTGGGGAAGAGCAGGATTTCACTTCAGAGCTGAGACAGAACCAAGGTAGGAACCATCTGTAAGGTCCTTCCTCGGTGCCCCAGGCCTTTGTGGTTGAAGAAACAGACTAACTCTGATCACTGATTATGAGGTGGTTCCCTGGATTGACCTGATAGTTTTGGCTGACTAGGCAGAATGAGTTCCATCTCCTCACTCAGGTGTGTTCCAGTCAAGGTCCTGGCATGGGAACAGATATCGAAGTCTAATAAGTTCAGCTGAAGTGAGTTTAATAAAGGGACTGTTTATGGAGGGGTAGACAGGTTGAGTGAATAAATTAAGAGATGGTTAATCTAATAAACTTGTTAGTTAATGATTTACTGAACCTGTTATAATTAGCTTTGGATTATGTATAAATGGTCCCTGGTAAATTCTTTTTCAACCTCTGCCTCATTAGGCTATTTAAAATTTTTAACTTTTAAGTTACTTATTTCCCACACATAGTGCATGGCAACTTGAAGGGAAGCCTGTATAAGTAGCCAAATGATTGCTCACCGTGGAGACTGAGATTTTAGCTCCTGCTGCTACAGTTACCAGCAGACAGTGAGTAGGGGTGAGCCTGGAAGCAGCTGAGTGGTTACGCTGGCAAAGGAAGGAAATAGATGGTCAGGTGGAGACAGATGGAAGGATAAGAGAATAGGGAGTTAGAAGAAAGTACCTTTGTCAACTGGGGCTTCTGTACCTGTGAGGGGATCACTGTGCTCAAGGACAGCCCATTTTTCAGAGGGAGCTTCTCTTCTCCCTTTTTCCGTGTGTGGACGGTTAAATGGAGTTTTAGTGGTATGACTGCCTAAGGGAAATGCTCTAAAAAGATGTACTGCTTTGATCTGATTTCAACAGTGTTACTTTATAATGAAAAGAATTACAAGACATAGCCAGTGTATAATAGATTAAATGAACTGTGGTGGGAGTTAAGTGCTTACTTTCATTCAAATTAATAAGGATCTTGGACTGGAATGATTATAGATGGACTGAACATTCTCTTTTATTGCTTTTGTATTCAACTTCTGTGAGCATATGAATTTTTCTGACTTTGCCACTAGCCTCTTTTCCCTTAATTATCCTTTTTCTTTTCCTTAATCAAATTTGACCCTTCAGCAATCTTTCTTGTTTCATTCTTCCTGGGCATCACCCATTTCCTTTGCTGCTATCCCAGTGTGCTTGGTTTTGCCTTACTGCCCTTTGTATATGAAGTGTTTCTCCTGGCAGAAAAAACCAGGTGCTCTTTATGCCATAATAGTTTCTGGTAGGGAGCTCGTGTGACAGTCTGGTATTGTAAACTAGATTTGATGATGGCTCATTTGTATCATTGTGGTATTGTGACCTCTCCGAGCAGTATTTGGTCACCCTTCAAAACTCATCAATATCACCTAATGGTTCTCTTTGTCCTTTAACGGTTTCTTCTCAGAACAGGAAACAACTCACATCCTTATTCTGTTTATTGTTTCAGACTGTAAATCGAACACCCAGAATGACGAATCAACAGATAAGCAGAAAAATTCTGAAGAGTCTCATGCAGAAGAATTCAAAAAGGATATTATTCCCATGGTTATTGCCAGTAAATGTGAGGCCAGGTCAGAAAGGCAGTGGGTAAATCTTGAGAAAGAAAGAGGAACAAAAACCCCTCTCCTAGGCAAAGGTTCCAAGAAAGGTAGAGAACTAATGCCCAGTAAACCTGCCCCGGGGGAGAGACGTTACATATGTGCTGAGTGTGGAAAAGCCTTTAGTAATAGCTCAAATCTTACTAAACACCGGAGAACACACACTGGGGAGAAACCCTATGTGTGCACCAAATGTGGGAAAGCCTTTAGCCACAGCTCAAACCTTACCCTTCACTATAGAACACACTTGGTGGACCGGCCCTATGACTGTAAGTGTGGAAAAGCCTTTGGCCAGAGCTCAGATCTCCTTAAACATCAACGAATACACACTGAGGAGGCACCATATCAGTGCAAAGATTGTGGGAAAGCTTTCAGTGGTAAAGGCAGCCTCATTCGGCACTATCGAATACATACTGGGGAGAAACCTTACCAGTGTAACGAATGTGGGAAGAGCTTTAGCCAGCATGCAGGTCTTAGTTCTCATCAGAGACTCCACACCGGAGAGAAGCCATATAAATGTAAGGAGTGTGGAAAAGCCTTCAACCACAGCTCCAATTTTAATAAACATCATAGAATCCATACTGGGGAAAAACCCTATTGGTGTGATAATTGTGGAAAAACATTCTGTAGTAAGTCAAATCTTTCCAAACACCAGAGAGTCCACACTGGAGAGGGAGAAGTGCTTTAACCGTCAAGTATGCTCTCTTGGTGATTTTTTTGTTTTTGTTTTTTTAACTTTAGAACAAGAATGCTAGGGAGAAGCCAGGTAATTGTAATGAAAATTTCAGTGGTAGATTTTGTTTCACTCAATATCAAGGGACACTGGAGGAGTGAGGGCGGTGGCATTGTAGTAGGGCAGGTCCTGGAGGGGGTGGTGGACTCTGCACTCGCCAGCTTAACTGGTTCAGGATCCCCTCACCATACTTGAGGACCTGTTAACCATGCCAGCATTGCCTTGTGTATAGTTAAAATGTGTATCAAGTACAATTATGGAGAAACATTGTAACTGTTTTAATATGTGTTCAAGATTTGTGATTTGTAAAGAATTGAGCCATTTGAACACAATCTAATCTGATGCAGAATAAATGTATAATGTCTTGTAATGCTTCAGGACTGATACTATAATAAATGGTACATTTATCAAATTATTCTAGGAAAAAACTGTTCCTACTGGTTTACCTTTTGGAAAATTTGAATTTGGGATAAATAGAACATTTAGTACTTGCGAGTGAATATGTGTATTAGGAAATTGCAATAGAGTGTAGAGTAGCTGTATCTTGGACTACATTGTGCTGTTTTTTTCTGCCTACTGAAAACATTTCATCATTGGGAACATTTTGTCAGCCTCTGTGCGTTTTGGTTGTATATATTCTGTCTTTGCCAAAGTCTGAAAATCTGACACTCCCTGAGAATCTTCCTTCTTCTGAACTCCAGAAGTCAATAATACACAATTTGATTACCTTAAGTCCATCCTGTCTTTTCCTTCTGACTGCAGTCTCTTTGATTTCTTAAGATTCTTCTTTATACTTTATAAAAAGTCTTTTGGCTGGTAGGTCCTCCTGTTTCACCTACAAACCCAGCTGCTTCACTCCTTCCTCTTGTCACTTGCTTATTGTGGTATTCTGAGTTTTCACCTCTTAGTAGTAGTCACTAAAATAGTGTTTTGTCTACTGCTGCAGCCATAGTGGTCAGGCAAACCTGATATGCCAGGATTAGAGACAGCAAGAAAGTGTCATGTCTAGTATCAGCTCTGATCTCTGGAAATTGCCTGTATGTCATCTTGGGATCAGATTAAACTATTGGTAACAGGTCTTTATGCAACAGCCAAATATATTAGGGAGAGAATCGTTACTGAAAAAAATCAATTATACTTGAAATCTGAAATATTCTTACTGTTCCAGTAGCTTGTTGATGACCTGGATGTCCTATTAGCACCTTAACTCTTAGTACCTTTTATGTAAGTTCTGTTTATGCGTTAACCATGATGGAGGCCCACAGAGAATTTCATGATTACCAGTAGATAGCCGCTGATTATCTGTAGGGCCCCTGGAGCTGCTTCGCATGAGGGAAATGAAGGAAGAGCCTGCTAAGCCTGAAGGCCTGCCTTTCATCCTGCTTTGGTGAGGTGACTGGGTCCCACGTCTGTACTAGCCCTTATTTTCCTGACACCTTCTGTGCAGTGGGTACTTTCTGAGGGACATTGATATATGACACAAAGATATACACACTTCATTTCAGCTTCCATAGATCCCTCTGTAAGTTGAAGTCCTCAGATCTTGTCTCCAGACTCAACCTTATTCTTTGCAGGCTCCTAATCTAGACAAGCTGTTTGCCACAGCCCAGGAGACCATGAAATCTTTACTCCAGGCCACTTCTCCCTCTGTACAAAGTTGGTGCCAGATACACTGCTTACAACTCTGCCCACTGTGTTTCTCACACTGGCCCTAGGGCCATTCCTGAGGAAAGTGAATCAACAATGCCTTCTTGATTCACACTAACATTACCTGTCCTCTGCAGAACTGCAGTTTCTTCCACCAACAAGTCTAAGGGAGCCTTCCATGGGTCCATAGCTGAGCTGAGAGAGGTGTCAGCTCAGCAAAGGCAGGTGACAGGAATGGATACTCAGTTAAGGATTGAGGATACTCAGTTACTCCATGTGAGCTTACATAACCTGTGACTTCTGGACAACAAGGGGTGCTAATGAGAGCGCAGATACTGCTAAGAAGTTCAGTGATGTTCAAGTTACATAACCTACTGAGTAAGCTAATGCTTCCCCTTCTACATGTGCTTCATCTCTTGCTGTAACTAGTGAGAAGCTTAGTAATTGCCATACTACAGCAAGCCAGAAGTTACCATCACTGCATCTATTACCAGGCTTCGTTTTAAGTCATCTGACCAGTGAATGATCTGTTCCAGAGTCTGATCCTGAGAGCTGGATTTCTAGGGCCACATCTAATACCAACAGTCATGGCTTGGATTTCCCCCAAAATAGCGTGGGACAAGGGCTTGGGGGCAGACAGTTTATTTAGAGAGGTGACTTGAAGCAAGAGTGAGGGAGAACTGGGGGAGAGAGGAGGAGGGAAAGGCAATAGTGCATTATTGAACTAGTGATTTCTGTGGGCAACTAGTGCTCAGTTCTGATGGGGACCTTCAGAGAAATGTAACAAGTGGGGCAAGTGGTACACCAAGCACCACTCCAATCCCAGTGCCCACCTCCCATGGTTAGGAAGCCAGTGCCTGCTCAGCTCCAAGAGAGTGAATGAGGATCCCTGAGGGACTGGAAATGACGTTCCAGGGGGCTTTGAGGTTGGCTTGGTCTGAAGATGACTGTGAGCCTCCTCCCATATCACATACAGATACAGGTTCACACACACACATACACTGTACCCTTGGATAGGGCAGCCAGATTAGTAAATAAAGCACAAGACTTACATTTGGGTTCCAGATAATTATTCAATTTTTATCTGAAATTCAAATTTAACAGGGCATCCTGTACCTTATTTGGCAGTCCCACCCCCAACATGAGTGGGCAGCAATGCCCCCACTCCTTTGTCTTTCCACACGTGGTGATCTGATAAATTGAGGATACTCAGTTACTCCAGTAAAATGTGTAGCTGCTGATGAGGTGGCAGCTTTGTGCATCTCAGGAAATACACTGTGACTTTTTAAGTTCTAGATTAACCTCAGTGCTAGCCCGGAAATGGGAGCTAAAGAGGGCAGGAGCTGTTTCCTTTGCAGCCCACCTCCAGAATTGTCTCTGGTGGAGACTGTCAGCTTCTGAGAGAAGGGTCTGATCTATCTTGAGATGACAAGAAAGAATTCAAACAGCTGTCTCAGTTCTATATAATGGCTTAAATTCACAATTAGTCTATTCACAATTACTTAAAATATAGTTCAATATATGATTCATAAACAAGATTCTAGATGAATAAACCAATTTGACTCCTATTGTTACATTTCAAGTAATATCACAACCAATATATTCTTACATTTCAATTATTTTTAAATGATAAAATATACATAACATAAAATTGACCATTGATCATATCCCTGTTTTCTTTATATCCCTATTTTAAGTATGAGGAAACAGACTCAAGATCACCAAGCAATTAAGTGGTGGAACCAGAATTCTCACTGAAGCTCTGTCTGCCTCCAACACCTAGGCTACCTGCTCATCTACATAAGAGCCATGTAGATCATTTTAGACATTTTGTAGAATATTTCTTCTCCTGACCACAGAGGTTAATGGTATTTGCCTTTTCTATTTATTGTCTTAGACCAAATGTGGACAACCAAAAATGAGCTGAGTGTTCCACAGTGGGATGATTGTGAAGCAGCAGATATGACCGGAAGATTTGATGAGTCTTATAAATCTATGAGCTGTTAAGAGTAATAACAGCAAAATTTCATAAGAAAGAAAAAGTATCCCATCTTGCAGGTTCCGTCTAGCAGAGCAGCAGTCATCCTCCAAACCCCCCCCGCCCCCTGCCACCTGCCCCCCACATTGGAGAAAAAGCCTATAGCCATAAGAAAGTTGATATTTCTGTAAGAAAATAGATCCTGTAAGAAATGTAACATCTGGGCTGGCTCAGCCATTGGTAATCATCTGAAAATCCCCAGAGTAAAGAAATTTTATGAGTGTAGTGACTGTGAGAAAAACTGCCGTCAGAAGTGCCACCTTGTAATGCATTTGGGAGAAAAATACTGGAGAGAAGCCCTCCGTGTGTAATGAACGTGGAAATGCATTCACTGGGAGCTCCACCCTTACTCAGTATTGTAAAATCCATGCTGGGGAGAAGCCATTTCAGTGCAGTAACTGGAAAACCCTTAAGGCAGAACTCCTACCTCATACATCAGGAATTCATTCCAGAGAGAAACCACATACCAGTAAATGTTCTGAGTGTAGAAAAGCCTTCAGAAATTGTTCATGGCTTTCTCAACATAAGAAACAAACTGGAAAGAAACTATTCCTGTCGTCAGTGTGAGAAAACCTTTTAACACAGATCTCAACAAACATCAGAGGTCCCACACTGGAGAGAAACCCCATCAATACAACAAGTGTGGGAAAACCATCAGAAATCATGTCTGATCACACATCAGAGAGTGCACACTGGGGAGAAACCTCACACAGAGATTCACTGTGGGAAAATTTTCTATCAGCCATCAAGTCTCATTGTGCATCAGAGAATCCACACTGGAGGGAAAACTCATAAATGCAGTGAGTGTGGGAAAGCCCTCTGCAAAAGTTCAAACCTTACAACACACCAAAACATTCACATCAGAGAGGCCCTATACACATGACTGGTGTGAGAAAACCTGTCTGAGTAGGGACATCACCAAACATCAGACTGTTCACACTGGATAAATACCTTATTAACGCAAACAATGTGAGAGATGCTTTTGTCAAAGTTTGAATCATCTTACCCATTAGTGCCCACACTGGAGAAAAACCTTATGACTGTGTCTTTATAACCTTATGTAAGTGTAAGAAGGCATTCCACTTAAGCAAGGATGTCAGCAGACACCAGAGAGTATCCACACTATACAGAGAAACTTTTCCAGTGCCATTTATGTGAGAGAGCTTTCAGCCAGAGCTGAAGCCTTATCAATTATCAGAATGTTCACACTAGGGAGAAGCCCTATTGCGTGTGGTCAGTGTGAGAGAAACTTCTGTCTCAGGAGGGATCTTACCAAGCACCTGAGAGTTCACCTAAAGAGAAATGTTGAGAGAGCCTTCAAGCAGTTAGGGTTTTATCTCATATATAGTTTATATATCAGGTTATTATAATTTAGGAACTCAACAGCAGAGAGGGGCCCTGTAATTGTTATTAAAATGGGAGACATTTTACTACATCAGGCATGTACAGTCACCCAAACTTATACTTCAGGAAAACTGTGATGTACCAAAAAGACACCAACATTATGAATGTACTGAAGGCCACTAAATTATACACTTAAAATAGTCAAAATAGGAATATTTATGTATATTTTACCCTATATTTTTAAATTTTATTTATTGATTTTTTAGAGAGAGTGGAAGGGAGAAAAAGAAAGAAACCTTGATTTCGTGTTCCACTTACTTATGCATTCATTGGTTGATTCT